AAAAAAAAAAAACTTAAATTACCAATTAAAATAACAAATAAGAAAAAAAAGCTAATTTTTTATGTGAAAACAAGGGAAATGTTTTTTTTTTAAACAAAAAAAAAACAAAGAAAATGTTAATTACAGCAAAACCCATGACTAAAAAATGCATAAAATAGAAAATGTATAAGAAAATCATCAAGATCAGATTTTTTTTTTTCAAACAAGCAGGTAAAACATACAACACAACACAGAGCAGAGAGCACAAATCAGAGCCCCCTTTACAAAAATACCGAAATCGAGGGGGTTTCCTGCAATATCCCGGAAAAAAGATACCGAAATCGAGGGGGTTTCCTGCAATATCCCGGAAAAAAGACCGGACCTTGGGTGGTGACAAGCCTATAGACATGGCCAAGAACGAGAGCGTCGGCTGGCCGGAGGAGCTTTATCCGCGTGACCCGTAGAGGGGCGGCTCTGTTCTCTCCGGCGGCGGCGGAGGAAGAGGAGGAAGAGTAGACGGTTGTGGTGGTGAGGAGGAGGGCGACGTGGTGTCCGGGGTTGGCCTTCATGACGTCGGCGGCGGTGGTTGGGCCGTAGAGCCGCTCGATTTTGGCGGAGTTTGGGTGTTGGATGACTATGCTTGCGTTGTCTATGGCTTGGCAATTTCCCATCTCTTCAATTATTTGGATTTTAATTTTATTTTTGTTTTGGAGAAAAAAAACAAATAGGGGCAACAAAATAAAAAGGGAGAAATTAGTTCAGTGTTGTCTTGCAGGGTCTTTATAACCACGCCCACGCTCCCCCACCATTTTAGGCGAATCAAAAATTTCGATTCTATGTCATTCTTCTATTAATAATATTTTAAAATATGACATTTTAAATTGAAAAATGCATTATTATGAGAAAAGTATGTTGATATTTTGCTAAAACTAATTGATAAGCTAGTTTTTAACTTATAACATATGATTTATGGCTGAAAAACTAGCTTATATGATAAAAGTGTTTGGTAAAATTAGCTGATAAGCTAGCTGAAATAAAAATTTCAACGAGTCTATTTGAAAAGCTACCAAAAGAAGCTTATCGAATAAGCCCGTCCTACCAAACGAAGTTTATTTAAATACATGGAACTTATAAGTTAATTAAATAAGCTATAAGCTAGCTTATTGGTCTACCAAACATATTCTGATGGTTTGACGGCCTAACACATGACTTGACATAAGTTCATAGGCTGACATAATAATTTTACTAACTTGCATACTTTCATTTGAAAAATGTCATATTTTATAAAATAATAGAAATAAAAATATGAAACTTGATGTTATAAATTTATTACAAATGTTTGTTGAAAAGATAAAATAAACTTATCGTTGTATCAATAGTAGTATATAATAATGTCATTAGGTAATTTTATTTCAGTTGAAATCCTTATGTTGTTAAATCGAGTTAGGCATTGTGACATAAACTTGTTATAATTCTTAACAACGTAGGAAATTCTATTATAAGACTTGATATTGGATACCATAATGGGTTGAATAGACTCGATAAACCAGCTAATCGGGCCGAATAGTTCGAACGGAGCTACAGAGCAAAGAGTCTTCAAGTCGATGAGAACGTTGCAGGTTCAAAGGAGCATGGACACGTCCAACTAGGGTCCTCGAATGGTCTAGTAGAAATTCGATCTAAAGGCATGACTAGTTGTTGGACCGACAAGAAGAGCATAACATACGAGCTCAGTACAGACAACACTCCACCTCGAGGTGATCGGGTCGGTCGCACGATTAAACCGTCTAATAAGTCATACTAACGGAAAAGAAGGAATATTATTAAGATAAGAAGCACACGTGGATAGGACTACGTGGCCAAACACACTCCTATATAAGGGACTGAGGTATACACATTCATATATTACATTATTTCTACACTCTATACTTACAGAGTTTTACATACTGTTCATCGTCCTCATCAGCGGGCTGACTTGATCGTCGTAGTGCTAATACCGAGGACACCTCTCGGTTCATTTCGTAGGTCTACGAGCAGGTCGGAATGGAAATCCAAATCGTGTGAGCTAGACAGAGGTCTATTACACACCACTATTCAATTTTATATATTTTTAAATCATATGAGTTTGATTGTTTCTCAATAGAAGATTTATATTCTAGGCTCCTTAAATTAAGGTTCACTCTTTTTTTTTTTTTTGTCTTTATCGGTATAAAGAAAGAGACCAAAAGCCTTTGAAGATGACTAGGCTAGAACTCGTCGAGGGTGGGGCACCCCAATAAAATCATGTTCAAGCCAAGCTTCCAATTCTAGAGGAGGTGAAGAAACACATACGCTGCAAACCCAACGAAAAGGATGTCACCAAGCTCGCCATATAGCCGCAAAGTTAGTTTCCCTATGCACATGATGGATCCAAATGTGCCAATCCATTTGAACCATGCTACGAGTGGCTTGAACTAGCGCATCATGAGCCCCAAATTTATCCTTGGAACCAAGTCCCAGGTCAATTGTAGCCCCTGAAGAAGACCTCAAAGCTCGACACCTGTAGTGGTGCAATACACAATATTCATGTGGAAACCCTCGATACATCTGCCCAACTTGTCTCGAAGCAAACCTCCAGCACTACCCAGGCCCGTGGTGTTATCAAAAACACCGTCTGTATTCACTTTGATCCACTCCGAGCCAGGCGGGGCCCAATTAACTTTTTTGTTTGACTTCTCAATTTAAAGCCCAACTACCTTTATTTTTTGACAGCAATACGTAACATCTATGTCACAATTTCACTGTACTGAAATAGAATTATTAGTAGGTAAATGAATAAAATAACACACGTTTGTTTTTATTGTTTTTAAAGTATAACATATTTAATTAAGAAATATGTATATTTGATAAAAAAAAAAAAAAAATGAAATGCCTAATAATTTGATATGTCTAACAAGAAGATTACCTCATGTTTTGGGGAAGAAAGACTATTTTAGTTTAACAAGTAAAATAATATAGAGATCATTATTGAGAGTAGTTAAACAAAGTTAACTTAAGAAGAATCTTACAAAAGTTGTATATATGAATGCTATCTTCAAGGTTTTTTTTTTATTTATTTTTTATTTACATTTGTTGTTTCATTGTTTTCAAAGTAACGCCGGCCGATAAGTGAATTATTAATTCACGTAGGTTTCTAAGTCGACTAATCAAATTTGGACTACGTAACTCTTTCTTTTATTTTTATTTTTTTCGTGGGTGGTTTGTTGAGATCTTAATTTGACTTATCGACGCTAGCTTAATCAAAATCGGACTTTCATTAGAAAAAAAAAAATATATATTAAATTGAGAAAAAGTAATGCAAAATTCAATGAAGATTTAATTTTAAGTGTACTTGCAAACCTAACTAGGGCTGAGCACGGGTCTTGAAGATTACCGAACCGTACCGAAAACCGAACCGAATTCATCCCGAACCGAAAAATATCCGTTGACCGTTTGACTATCTCCGAACCGAACCGAACCGAGCCGAACCGAATTTATTTTCGGTACGGTTCTGGAGATTCATAAAATATCCGTACCGAGAACCGAACCGAACCGAAAATAACCGTACCGAACCGAGGAACCGAACAAGAACCGTTTAAATTCATATAAATCCATATATATATATATATATTATCTTATTTTATCAAATGTATTTTTTTACACTTTGTACATTATTTTATTCAAATAAAATCTATATACATTATGTATATGCCCATAAAACTACCATAAGTTATATGTCAAATTGAGTTGCGAAAAATCATCCACTATTGAATGTTAATAGAATTTGAAACCTAAAAGAATAATTATTTTATTTTGGTACTACTTATGAGACACTAAAATCTAAAATCTCGTTTTTGAATTAATTGTTTGAAAAGAAAATTAAATTAATATACTCTTCATATTACAAATTTGATAGCCAACATGTCAAATATTTTAGTAAGAAAATCATTAAATATAACTTAATAAAATTATAATACCAAATATTTAGAAACCGACCTTTATGAAGTAAGTCTTTCCCACAACTTGGAGAGAATTATTTATTTAAAGGTGATATATTCTAAAATAAAAATAAAATGAAAGATATATTTACCATAATAT